TTCATTAAGTAGAAAATACTCTTTCTAAATATCTTACCACTTTTCTGATAATCTAATGTTTAAAGAGACACTATCATTAGATTTTTAAAATGTAACAAAATAATGCTTTGTAAAATACAGTTATAATACTTACCATTAGCACCTCAGTTGACTTCAATCTTTCAATCCATATTTCAGAACTAGAGGTGCAGCTAGATCCTTTAGCATCCAGTACTTCAGGATGTGTCAGATGCTTGTGCTTCCTTCCCCAGTTGCTACATCACTGGGGGTGTCCCCGCAGCTCTGTGGAGACAAACTAGTGACATAGCAGCTGGGAGGTAGAGCCGCATTGTGGGAGGCATGCAATAAACCTAATTTATTTCTTTATTACAGGTATTTATAAAGCGCCGACAATTTAAGTAGTGCACATTCACATCAGTCCCTACCCTCAAGGAGCTTACAATCTAAGGTCCCTATCTTACATGCATACATACAGGGACAATTTGGAGAGGAGCCAATTAACCTTCCAGCATGTCTTTGGAGTGTGGGAGGAAACTGTAGTTCCCAGAGGAATATGCTCTTTCCTGCTCTGGTGCCCTGCTCTTTACTGTTCCCGTTGTTGGATGAAGGTGGTGCTGACTTCAAGATCAGAAGTAACCTGACATGGAAACTGCATTGAAAAAAACAGGCCCTTGGATACCTGATGGTCCCTACACATGCACCTGGGATGCCCTGCAGGTTCACTAGCCCTGGTCACAGTAACTGTCAGACCATTCACTTTTTTCCTTGAAGCAGTTATGGCACTCAAGGAGACCATATACATCAGGCCAGTGCTAAAAGTCCAATCTCTGGCATCGAACAGACTGTACATATTGCTTAACAAAGGGGGGAAGAAGACGAAGGCCAAGAAACAAATTTACTTCAATGGCAGCAGTACATACTCACAGTCCCTTCAGGCCCCCACCATGCAATCTGGCCAGCAATACGCAGTATCATTGAGTGGATAGAAGAATGTGACTTCCTCCCATGTGACAGTACTGGAGTTTGGTGATCGGCAATTCACACACCCAGCGCTGTCACAGGGGACAAGAAAGGGCACCTCAGCCTGACTTGAATCTTACACAGGGCTAACACACACTACCCCACTACCAGGACTCAGTAGTGACATAGGGGTCAGCAGGAGGAACACAGAGGCAATAGAGAGGCAATATGTGACAGCACTGGAAGTGTTGAATAGCAGTGAAGCCCAGAGCCCTGCAAGCAGGGCCGGATTTACTCTCCCTGCTGCCCCAAGGCCAGGTTCCGCAATGCGCCACTCCCCCCCACACAGACACATCAATGGGGAATGGCAACCGGATGGCAGGGGCGGCAGGGTTAGTTTTATTTTTTTTATTGTTTCTTTATTTTTTTTACATGTATTATCACTTGTTTATTTTTATTTTACCTTTTTAAATTTGTTTTTATCTTATCGTTTGCATTTTTATTTTTTAGAATGTGTTATCTTATTATTGTTTATTTTTTTAAAGTATTATGATTTAGCGCCCGTCAGGGGATTCCACAAACGCTGCCGCCTCTCTGCGCCCCCTGCCGCCTCGGTGGCCTTGTGGGGAATCTGGGCCTGCCTGCAAGACAGAAGTTTCAATACAGCAATGGCTATAAAGGTGAGTATGTATCATCTTCTTTTGCTGACTGTCACTTCTTCTTGTGCTGTCACTCTTATAATGCTGAGCTAGTTGAATGAACTTTCTGACACTGTTGCAGTATTAACTTACTGAATGCTTTCAATTGCCTATCTCTTTGAAGCCAAACAAACAAACAGGCCTAAAATATTTATATGAGAGCTATTTTACATGCCAAAGGATTTATATGTCTGTCCATCCAGTCCTAAGATTTATATAGCTCTGCCTCACATCGCAGCCCTGTCTACCAGGCGAGGAGACCTGATCTTTTTCTGATGCAGTGTTACTTTCCCTAACAGGTCTCCTCTCCCACTCTGTAACTGGACAGTGAATGGAGAAGCACTCATGAACATCTTTCTCTTTCCCTTTGCTCTACACTCATATCAGCATTCTCATTGCATTGGCTTTCTTTCTCTGCCTCTCCCTCCACCTCTCAAAGCTCTGCCGTAAAGACTATACAGCTGACTGTAAGGCTGGGCACACACCTTACACCATCGCAAGACTTTTGTCTTGCGATGGTTGTAAGCTACTTAAAAAAACGTACGATCTGCCTATCTTGCATAGGCAGATAGTACTTGCGATGATCGCAAGCCACGCCCCCTGATGGGCGGGCTTCCGATGACTGCAATGCCGAACGGGCAGTGTGCGCTTGCGCACACCGGCCCGTACGGCTTTAATTGTACGAACATGCCACAAACCCGCCGAACATCGTGCGATGCTCGGCGGGTTTTCGAACATGTCCGTAAGTTAAAAGTCGTGCGACCTTACAGTAGTAGAGGTCGCACGGCTTCCACACACCTTACGATAATCGTACGATCGCTGGATTTCCCACGATTATCTCAAGGTGTGTGGGGACCTTAATGCCTTGTTCACACCAGATGCAGTGAGTTCCGGCCGATTCTGGCCAGAACGCACTGCCTCGCATTGCGGCTGGCTAACTTTTTTGTGGGGCAGGAGGGGGCGTGGCGGTCCTTTTAAACAAAAATGGATCCTATTTGTGTATCACTCAGCTGTCACTCACTCAAATAATCTCTGAATTGGTGCTGACACTGTCCTTCCTTCTGGAGGGGGGCTACTTTTGTTCCCCATGGTCCCTGTGTATGTTATTATTACACAGGATTTATATAGTGCCAACAGCAGTTTGCGCAGCGCTTTATAATGTGAGGAAGACATTACAGTTCAAGACAAGATGATAAAGATGGCCCTGCCTGTGAGAGTTTACAATCTAAAAGATCTATACATAGTGTAAGATGTGAGGAACATTTCAATGCTGCAGGGAGGGGGAGACAGGCAGGAGGGAGCACCGTGACCAGTGGTGTATTCTGGTTTGGGGCTGCCCTAGGCAAGGCAAAACTCGGGCGCCCCCCACTAAATTTCCCCCAGCCCTTCCTGTATAACCTGTCAGTCGCAGGATACAGTGCACACGCTCTATCCAGCTATTGACATGTTCCGCTATTAGCGAAGCAGGAAAGCTGTGGTCTCAGGGGGGCTAAGCAAGATCTGTGGTGGGCTCTGCAGGGTCTTAGGGGGGCTGTGCAGGAGCTATGGTGAGCTCTGCGAGGTCTATGGTGGGAAGAGCCCACCACAGATCACGGATCCTGTAAAGCTCACCCACAGATCCTGCAAAGCCCCCCACAGATTCTGCAGAGACCCCCTGAGACCCTGCAGTCTGCCGGATCTCAGGGGGGCTGTGCAGAATCTATGCTGGGCACTGCCAGCACAATTGTCCTCCTACTTAGCACGGGAAAACAAGCCTCCTCCGCTGCCTCGGCACCCAATCATCGTTGCTTCGACCGCCCGGCTGGAGCCTCGGGTTGCCTCCCGCCTGCTCCATCTCCTCCTCCGTTGCAGTCTTCGGCCCTCCCGCCTCCTCCATCTTCACCCCGCCTCTTCCATCTCCGCCCCATCTCCTCTCTCCGCCCCCTGCCGCTCCGTCCCCGTCTCCTCCTGCTCTCCCGCCTGCCGCTTCTTCCCTGTTCACATTAGGCAGCCAGGCTGCCGGTTTTTGTGCAGCCCGTCTGCCTAAATGTTTTGGAGGGCGCCCCCCTGGAATCTGCCGCCCGAGGCAAACGCCGCCCGAGGCAGATACTCCCCTGACCGTGACAGCTGGCCAGCTCAGAGCGGGTGAGTATATCTTTGTTATTTTAGCACCTAGACACAAACGAGTACCTAACCCTTGCAGTGAGGGTGTAGCCCCCACTGCAAAGGTTAATAAACAAAATCCTGGAGTTCTCCTTTAAGGTACTTGAATGCATTTTCATGCTTTAACGCCTGAGTTTAGTGTCACTTTAAGGATGCAATAATGATTAGAAAACTGCATTAATTTGTGCCTTTCATATCTGCCTGGAGTACAGTTTAAACCAACCCGGCTGCCACATCAAGGAAATCTAAAGGATGGTGCCTAGAAAAGAAGGCTTTCAATACTTACCTCTTCTGGTGCCCACCCACCAATTCCTGCTGAGAGATACAACTGGCTAAAGAATCTTATGTATCTGTCAGCCTTGGATGAACAGAAGGGGATGCCTGATTCCCCGCTATAGGACACAGTGATGATATGGGGTCCAGAGGAAGAAGGAGTCCTGTCGCTCAGTGGGAAACCAGCCATCTGATACACCCAGAAGTGTGTCGGATGCAGAAGATCCTTCAGCCTGCCATATCTCTTCAAAACAACAAGGATCGACAGAGCGTGCAGTGGGGCAGATGAATATTAAAACCCTTCAGCTCCCATGCACCATTTTTAAGGGCCCGTTCACACGACTTATGCACTACTTTTTTTTAATCACATTGCAACGTAGGGTATTGCAGTACCAGACATTGCAGCATGATCAATTGCATTGCGGGCAAGAGGTGCATTTGGGGTGCCGTTCAAATGAATGGCAACGCAATGCACCTCCCACATTGTTAACGCACGGTAGGTGCATTGCACGGAACTTTACGATTAATGCACGGACCCAGTGTGAACGGGCCCTAAAACTTTCTTGTAAGTGAAGACACAGTCACTTTAAATATAAATTGTAAAAAAAATGTGTTTAATGCAAAGTAGATAAAACATACAAAAAAAAATCAGATTTTAAACATGTAAACATTAAAAGAAAATATTAAAATAAATGTGAGCACAAATCATAATACCTTGCTTTTAATGTATAACTAAATGGGGAGAATCTATCACTGTTCGAATAACCAAATCCAAGTTATGAAACAGCACACTCTTTCCTGGAGTGTAGCAGACGTGAATGCCTTGTCAACATGTTACTTAATTCTTTGTTTGGCCGGTTACGCAAGTTACATCTGAGCCCAATTCTACAGAGGGTCATCCCTGACACACCCCCTCCCACCCCCTATAAATGCAGCCCAGCATGTTCAGACAGCTGTGTATCTAGAGGACAGACATGGAGATCAAGGATCAGATGATGCTCACGCTGCTTCTTGTGCTTGGGACTGCACAAGCAACTAAACAAGAACCTGGCGTCTCGGATGGGTACCAGAAACCTAAATTTTGTGGCCAGGCAGACTGCCCCAAATACGAAGTGGTGAAAAAATATGATGTAAGTGCGAAAAGTTCTGCAAAATAGCTGACATTGCATAAATTCCTATGCATACTATATATGTTCTTCATTTCCTGCCTTTTTTCATTGTTGTATTTTGCTCTCTTTCCTCCTTCTGCCCTGTGTACACTCTGTTCATTACCCCCGCCCCCCCCCCATCTCCGTGCTCCCTTTCCCCCTCCTGCCCTGTGTCTATACATGTACACTCTGTTCATTACCCTTCTCGCTGCGTCCTGATCTCCGTGCTCCCTTTCCCCCTCCTGCCCTGTGTCTATACATGTACACTCTGTTCATTACCCTTCTCGCTGCGTCCTGATCTTCGTGCTTCTTTTTTCTCTCTCTACTGTTGAGATAAGACATCTCAACTTGTATACTTTCATAACGGCATGGAACAGTAAAGCGCAACCATTATGTAGCACTGCCACTGCAAAAAATAAATAGCATCAATCTGTTCTTCATGTAATTCCAAAAGGGGAAAAAAAAGTGTTAAGCCTTTTCTTTGCTCAAAAAAGACAGTCTCCCCAGGGCTAGGTCGGTCACCAGTGCAGTCAGGCAAGAGGAAGGGGAGTAAGTAGCATGCCCCTTCATGCCTCTATGTACTGGATATTTTCTACTCTCCCAGCAGCTGTGGGGTGGGGGAGCCAAGTAAATGTGATCATATGCTGCTGGGGACTGGGCATCAGGCCAATGTGTTTCTTTGCCCTGCATGGGCAAAGCACAGATTTGTTTTAAAGGTTTAAAAGGAAGAGTAATATTCTCCCCAAGATTTAAAAGTCCCAAAATGTAATGATTGCTATATTAAATATGTAATAACTAATTTAAGATAGGCGGTATAACTGACCTTGTATAGTGCAGAGTGTTATGGCTGAAGATAGTTGCCATGTATCACCTCTAATAAAAACAGTGGTAGTACACTAATAAGTTAATGGCTTTTTAAGAATTCTACAGCCTGCGAATCAGTGAGTAGACTGTATATTAGAGAGCACAAATGCTATTCAGTATGTGCTGAATGAAACTGTGACTACGAAGGCATTCAAGTAGCTTTCCTCCTTTCATTTCAGAAATTTGAACATCGTGCTTATGAAGCCACTCGCTGGGTAAAAACTCCACTAGAAAGAGATTTCTTCGGCCTGGGGATGATGAAAAGCTTCAGACGCTTGTTCAAGTATATCACTGGGTCAAATGCTGAAGGTATAATACTATATTTACTTTGTTCTTATTACATTTTAGAACAGAACTCTTTTAAACCATATCCATTCATACCATAAAGGCATGAGCATTATTTGGTCAAGTGTGCCCATCATGCGAGAGGACTGTTTAAATTGGCTTTAGAACTGAGGGGTAGAGGGGAACATATCCTGGAGCATGAAGGAAGAATGATGAAACCGAATGGCTGCTGGACATAGACTTGAATAGGGGGGGTATAAAGGAGGCAGAATGGCAACTGGTTGTGGACCGGCGGTAATAAAGAAAGGCGCAGTGAAAGTTGATTATAGCAGAGGGTGGAGAGGATAGGCGGGTGAGGGAAAGAACAGTGTGGAAGAACGAGTTTGAAGAGCTGGCCGAAAGGGACATAATAAGGGAAATTGAGAAGAGACGATGAGGTCTGATACTGCATAGGAAATTGAGAAGGCAGAGCGAAATCTGATATGAACTATTGGGTGGGGATGTAGGGTGGGAGCGGCAAAAGGCATAGAGGAAGATAATGACTGGCCTGGTAAGTAATGTGAGAGCTGATTGTGGACAGAGGAAAGAATAGTCAGAGTAAATATTGAGTTGCTGGGGGGGAGGGGAGGGGAGGGATGGTGGAGGAGAGAAAGGAGCCACAAAATGTGTTCCATTGGGAGAGGATGCATAAGATGGGCTAGACTTGGACTGAATGGTGGAAAGGCAGATGGTGCCAATCATAGTCTGGGGTAGTGTCTTCATGTATGGAAAGAACTACAGGGAACAAGATATGAACATTTCATGATATCATTACATGTAGGGTACTTCACAACAAAGTAAAACTGCCATGGGGATGCCCCACTCTGCATTTCTAACAGGGGTGGTTGTGCTCTAGTTTTGTGAAGGAGTGGAACATTCCCAATCAAGGTGTACATAAGGTCAACTCACGGTGCAATGTTTTAACACACTGGTTACACCCAGTTCAAAGAGTCAAGAGTTACTTTGGCAGTGAAAAGGTTTTTCTTGGCTATGCTCTTGCACTAGAACTCACCAGATTGGCTCTTTGTGCTGCTTCTTTCCTCTCAGCTCTACTGTACAGTAGACTGCAAGTCAAAGTCCAATACCAAGTCAAATGTAGGTGGTTGCTTTTACAAATAGAAATTTAATGATCGATTACTGAATATCGAACTAAATTTAATTGGTGTCTGTATCTGCCTGGAATTTAGATTTAAAGGAGAATTATGGGGTTAAGACTTTTCCCCATAGTTCTCCTTAGGGTAACGGGAGGACACAAACTAGCATCCTCCCATCATCCTAGGCTCAGTATACTGTGAGCTGTAGCTCGCGGTATACTGAGACGCCGCAGCTGAAGCGGATCCCGACAATTGTGCCGGGATCCGCCCAGATGCGTGACTGACAGTTGGCTCTGCCTATCTAGAGGCAGAGCCAGCTGTACCAGCACCCTCCCCCGTCCGTTCCGCCAGCGCTGGCGGATCAGAGCGGGGAGAGGGGAATCCAGCCCCTCCCCTGTCACGGCAGAGAGCCGTGACAGGATCGAGAAGTGAGCGAGCGCCGGTATGTGTTCGCTCACCTCCCGATCTACTGAGCCGACCTGTGACAGTCTCATTGTCACAGGTCGGCTAGAACTATGAGGTGAGTGAAAAGCACTCACCTCATAGTTCTCCTTTTAACTACATTCATATGTATGGCAAGCAGATCCAGAATAGAATCCTATAGAACAATTTTGAACCCATTATATATTTAAATATAAATTTATTCTGACCACATTGTTTTTATAGAGATGAAGATTAACATGACTGTGCCTGTGGCGATGTACGTGCCACTGACCAAGCCACCAGCCGGCAATTCTACAATGGCTTTCTTTGTGCCACATGACGTGGAGGATCCCCCACAACCAACTGACCCAGATGTTTATCTGGAAAACGCTCCTGCGATGTCTGCTTATGTTAGGCAAGTGAAATCCTTTACAAGGCACAAGGATGGTATTCTGTGTTGATGGCTTTATACTCCCTGAGCTGTGGACACTGCCCTGGAAATGTGAAATAAAAGACATACTTTAGGCTTCCACTCAGGGCTGGTCTGGGACTAGGGTTGCCACCTTTTCCTCAAGTGAAACCCGAACACTCTAGTGCCGCAATGGAGGAGAGGCAGCCAGGGAAGGAAGTAAGGAGCCGGCTATAGAGGACTACAGCAATACATTATGCAGCAATGCAAAATAATATGAAGCTACATACTCTGTGTTGTGTGTTGGCACCCTGATGTCTTCAGGTGGGATAAGCAGGCTCTCAGGTGGGCTGTGTTGCTCTCTGGTTGGCATTTTGGACTGAACAGCCCAGTCACATGACCACCACCCCCTCCCCAGCAGGCCCTGCTTTGTGGTAATCTGGGGAGGAGTCAAACATGGAAGCACAATTCAGGGGCGGAGCCAGCCACTGGTAAGTACAGAGGCCTATTTCTATTTTAGGATGGCCCAGCACAGCCAATGGAAGGTGGCGCAGGATCACTTCAAGAGTGCCCAGCAGATTATTACTACAAGAGTTCCTGGAAAAGATTGCTGTTAGTATCCTGCAGATTGTCACTGTTATAGTGACAATCATCAGCATTCTGCTTCTCTGTGATCTGGCCTGTTGGTCGCCGAGCAGCTTCCAGCACACCGCTTGTCCTTCATGCTGCTCTCTGCTCCAGTTCCGGCAATAGTGGCATTAGGAGTAGCTCTGGACCCTGATTTTGTTCAGCTCTGGGACAGGAGTGGGGGGAACAGAACACATAAATATTGAGAGTGGGTTTTTAAGACTCTTGGCCAAGCGGTTCTTAAGGGGGCAAACTGCAATAGGATACAACAAGGATAGAGTCCGGGGTCACAGGGCAGCAATCTGGGCACAGCAAATGGTAAACGGCAATAAGGTTAAGGATAGGATTATAACTTGCGCTTAGGGTGTCCGGTCACTCTGCAGCTGGAGAGGGGTCTGCATGGAATGGTAAGTAGAGCCTCTTCAGCAGATGAGCAGGATCCTGCACAAGGAGGGCCTGGGGGTCCTGTGTGACCTGGCCACAGCTGAGGACCACCAGGCAGGCAGACTAACCGGGCAAAGGGACTATAGAGAACCCTGGCTCCGATATTTAACCCCTGAACTAAGGCACGATCCTGAGACTGGGCTCAGCATTGGGTTGCCCTGGTAACAAGCTCCCCTCAATTCCAGCTGGCCACAGGCTAGAGCATGACCTTTTGTTCCCAGCAGAGAAGAGCAGCATGGGAAGTGGGGCTGCACTATACTCACTGGGATAGCGCGGCACCCGCTAAGAGTTCAGTATGGTTCTGTCATTTTTAAAACTAGGGATGCACCGATAGTTTGTGTGGGGAAACCGTCTTCCCAGCCAATTGGCATTGAGCCGATGTCGGAGCATCCCTAATTAAAACCTTTTGTTGCCTGTAAAATAAAGCAGTAAATGCTCACCTCTGCAAATGTCCTGCTGAACACCACTCCATTCATGGTCCACTTCATTTACAACTTCTTGTCCTTCAAAGTCCACTGGGAACCAACACGTCTGGACATGTCAATCTACTGGGTTCCTACACAGCACTTAACGGGTTTCTCTCTGCTCTTGTGTCACAGTCAGAGCGAGAAACCAGTGATAATTGTGGGAAAACAGGAAATCAACTAGGTGTTGGCTTCCTAGTGGACTTTGAGGGATGAAAACTTGTGAACAGTGTTTGCTGATGCTTGCACCATTAAAGGTGAACATTTTTTTTTTTTTGCAACAGGGATGCTCTAAATAATAATTTAAAAAAAGGAAATGTCCTTGTCCCATTGTAACAGTTTTCTCTTATTTTCAGGAGTTTTGGAGGCTATGCCTTAGATCCTACTTATTCCAAGGAAGCTGTAGTCTTGGCAGAAGAGCTGCGATCCCTTGGCTATGAGTTTTATGACTCATTCTATCTGCGCTGTGGCTACAATGATCCTTTTACATTCTTCGACCGCCACAATGAAGTGTGGTTCATTGCAAAGTAAAGAAGAATGCAGCACTTAAGATCTATTCATCCAAAATAGTCCTTTGTGCATATACTTTTTGTAACTTGTAGCTGATAAAAGAAGTTGATGTATTTTTTGTAACTAACAGACTTTGTAAATAAAATATCAGTTTGTTAAAAATGTCATGGGTTTTTTTTTTTTTTGGAGGGGAAGGGGGGGGGGTTAAACAGTATAGTAAAAATGCAATTTCCTGTAGTTTTGCCCCTTTGTGTAGTTTGCTCACCCCAAAAAATCTAATCCAAAATATAAACCGTCATCTGATCAACATGAGATCACATTAGCGCAACTTTTATGTAAGATAGCAGAATGATAAAGCTCAAATTGAGTGTTAGTGTTTTACTTTAGGAGAGCTTTATTCCCCTTTCAATGCCACATTGCGATGCATGCAGGGGAAGAAAAATGGTTTTAAGTTTTGGTATCAGATTGATCTGGGTTGATGAGGGCACACATTATCATGACTGCAACGCATTCACATTTGCAATTGTAACAAATTTTAATGATTGTTGCATTAGCATTTAAAGTGTGTGTGTGTGTGTGTGTGTACGATTGCCAGTATCTGCAAAGATTGCTGCAGTCTAGAGAAGATTAACAGCACTGTCACTGAATACTGGGTCCACTCTGGGGGTAATGTACAGTCTTTGGTGTGGCACATGCACCGAAGCGGCAGGAAGGTAATAATATGATGCTTCTGTGCATGCCTGGTAGCATTGACGTTTAAAAGTACACCAGGGTCATCCACAAACAGCCATACCCAGCGGGAGGCACATGCAGAGAGTTCCCTGCACCATGTGAGTCTGTAATGAGGCATGACCTTCCCATTTCTGGTCCCATCAGCTCACACCACCTCCATACTTCCTGGCTTCTGCTGTGGCTAACACACATATTGTAAAATCCAGCCTTGCATCTCAGACCACCAAACCCCACCCAAGTTCTGTTGCTGGTAGGGAGGACTGCATCTGGAATGACAGCTCCTTGTGGAGGCACCACTTACCACAGAACTTGCATCCCCCATCACCACTGTGCCTACACAATATGTGAAACCTCCCCACCACTGCATCTTCATGCAACCCTCCGACAGACCCCCATTTTCTCATCGGACCAATGGCCACCTCTGTGCTCGCTGCTGATACACCGACACATGGCTCTGCATTTGCCACCACCATACCAATGCACACTTCTGTGCTCTCTACCACTGCAGTGAAACATTCTTCTATATTCAGCCTGTTTTCGAATGGGTACAATGGGAAAGGTAATAATTTAGTCTCGCATACATGATAATACATTTTGGTCTCATATACAATTCCGATGTACAGATTTTGTGTCTCAATAACTTTCCAAGCCTGATTCATTACATGCCTGACTTGTCTCAATACATAGTAATAGTATCATTAAAAAAAAAAAAATCTCTAACCTTTTAATCATTAAAAAGCAGTCCTGATGCTACAAACAAGTGACTTTGCCTAGGCTGAGATGATGTTATCACTCCTGCTGCAAGCAGGAGGAAGCATTTCTTAAATCTCCTCTCCCCCCAGTAGAATGGTCTCCATGTTCAAACATCGGTAGTTCGTGTGTTCGGCGAACCACACAGTGCCTTGTGAAGCCCTGATTGGGTAAAGCAATGCACCTAATCACAGGTCAGGTTCAAGGCTTTGCCCAATCATGGCCCAGTGCACTGTAAGATTTCTTGATTGGGTAAAGTAATGATGAATTTGCCCAATCATGGCTCACAGCTAAGTCCTATCAGGTGCCAGACAAATGTAAACAGTTGGGCGGAGCTAGCTGTGATGTCACCGCTAGCTCCGCCCAATTGTTTATATTTTGCCAGCATCTGTCAGAATGTCATTCTGCGGAAGGAGTTTGTCACAAGCAGACGGGTTGGCAGGCATCAGGTTTTTTTTCTTTATTATTTCTATTTATTTTTTCTTGTTTTATTTTGTATTTTGCAGAGTTGTCGTCGTTGTGGACAACGCTGGACATCGTGATTGACCCTGGATTAAGTCGGTGGATCCATTTTTTTTGGTGTTTTTTTTATTTTTATTAAACGACTAGTCAAAAATCCTTTGTTTTGGGGTTTTTCAAATAAAGGATTTTTTCAAAAGTCTGGTCTTTTCATTTACAATTTATTTTAACCCTTTAGTGACTGGGGAGCAGTACAAGTACCCCTTACTTATTCACAAGGGGGGGGGCACATCTGGGTGTCCCTTTATTAAAGGGGTACCCCGATGTGAATAAGACCCCCCTGCCTGCACCCCCACAACCAACACCCCAGGGCTTATGGGGAAGAGGCCCTTGTCCCCATCGGCACGGGGACAAAGTGCTTTTCCAGGGCGACCCTGGAAAAGTACCCTCCCACTGCCGAGGGCATGTGACCTGGTATGTGGCCACTTGGTTTATCCCTCCCCCCTTTCCTGCCGGGCTATGCCTGGGCTCGGATCAAGGGTCTGATTAGGAATGTTAGGGGGAACCCCACGTCTTTTTTTCCCCATTTTTGAGGGTGGGGTCCCTCCTAAAATTCCTACCAGATCTCAAGGGTCTGGTATGACTTTTGTGGGGAACCCCATGCTTTTTTTTAATTTAAATTGGGTCCCTCCTAACATTCCGACTAGACCTAAAGGGTCTGGTATTGTTTGGGAGGAGGAACTGCACACTTTTGTTTTTTCTTTTATAAAGTTAATTTTTGCTGCAGCAGGTTCTATACATCCTACAGATCCGCCATTTTACAGGCAGGTTAAGGCATAGGAATGCAGACCTAGATACCTATTGGTTATTTCAATTTGCAATATCCATTAAAAAAAAAAAGTGTTTTTCATATTGATTCATGTCCCCCAGGGCAGTACCCGAATCCCCATACACCTTTTTATGGCCTATAACCCTTCAAAATGGGGACATTTTCAGAGTTCTGGTCCAATAGACTTGCATTGAGTTCGAAGTTCGAAATGTTTTCTAACTTCGAACTCGGGTGTGTTTGGCCCATCACTACCCCCCAGTGAACGGACTTTGTAATAAGTCACTAGGCGAGAGGATGCAGCAGAGGCTAATATGTGTTAAACAATTTAAATATACAGCCAGGAACTGCACAGACACCAGGACTTAGGCAAATAATACCTGTTCCATGAGCCCTTTATTAACTTGTATACAACCTTCCCCTGAGAATGTAGATGCTCAGGACAACCCGATACTAGTCTATAAAGCCTGAATGGACAGACACATCCAGACGCTTTTGACAAAGCTGCTGTTTGGGACAGGACATGGCTGTTTTCCTAAGATAAAATGTAACAGATCTAGAAGATTCATTTTGTTCAATATATTGTGCTGAGGCCAAGTGAAAACAAGAAATACTGGAGCACAATGTTGGAGATGATTCCCTAAGGAAAATTAGATCAAATTGACGTGAAAAGTCCAAAGCGACATCTAGTGGCTGAAATTGAGAATGCGTGATACTCATGTGCTATACAGTATCAGCCTTTCTCAGCCAGGGGGATCCCTGGGGTGTCTTCTGACTTCGTCAGGGGCATCTTGAAATTTTTGCACAGCATCATGCTTTTCCATTGTACAGTACAAGGGAGGGTGAGATCCATTCAGAAAGGGATGGACGTTCACCTCCGTCCAGGCCTGCTCTGGTGTGAATGGGGGAACCACTGATGTGTAAGGGAGGGCGAACTCATATGCAGGGCCGGCCTTAGGGGTGTGCGAGCAGTACGGCCGCACAGGGCGCCATGGCAACAAGGGCGCCGTGCGGCCGACACAGCTCGTCCTGGGGGCGGCTTCTCTCCCCCTCACCGCTGGGCGCTGGCCATCCGATATGACAGCTCCTCCTGCTAAGGCCTAAGGCCGGCCCTGCTCATATGAAGTGGGAGCTTCTGATGTGATGGGGAGCTCCTTGTGTGAAAGGGGGGAGGGGGGGTTCTGATGTCAAAGAAGGGTGCTCCTGATGTAAAGGGGGGCTTCTAATTGAATGTAGGGCTCCTGATGTAAGGTGGACGTTCTGATGTTAGGGTTGGCTCCTGATGTGAAGGGGGGCTTCTGATGTGAAAGGGACTTCCAGTGTGAGGGGCGACTATGATGTAAAAGGAGGCACTCCCAATGTGAAGGGGTGCCTAATGGGGAGGTCTTGATGTAAGGAGGAGCTTCTGCTGTGAAAGGTGGGGGCTCTTGATGTGAAGATGAGCTCATAGTGTGAGATGGGGGGACCTGATGTGAAAGGAGGGTGCTCCTAATGTGAAGGGGGTGCCTAATGTAAAGGGGGACTTCTAATTGAATGCAGCGCTCCTTATGTAAGGTAGCAGTTCTGATGTGAAAGGGGGGGGGGGCTCTGATGTGAAGGTGGGCTCCTCATGTGAAGGGGGTGCCTAATGTAAAGGGGAGCTCCTGATGTAAAGGGGGATTCTCATGTGAGAGGCAGGGGTCCTGATGTGAAGGGGTGCCTAGTGAAAAGGTGGGGCTTCTAATTGAAAGTGGGGCTCCTGACTTAAGGGAGGGTTCTGAGGTGAAAGTGGGGCTCCTGACTTAAGGGAGAGTTCTGAGGTGAAAGTGGGGCTCCTGACTTAAGGGAGAGTTCTGAGGTGAAAGTGGGGCTCCTGACTTAAGGGAGGCTCTTATGTGAAAGTGGGGCTCCTGACTTATGGGAGGTTCTGATGTAAAGTAGGCTCTTGACGATGTGAAGTGGGGAGCTGAAATGTTTTGTGATTTTGTTTCTATGACATTTTAGACTGGGGTGCCTCAGGATTTTGCCAACTTTTAAGGGGTGCAGTGACTGAAAAAAGGTTAAGATACACTGCTCTAGTTTATATGTACCTGGTGGTAATATAAACAATATGTACATACTGGGGATGCACCGATACTGGTATCGGTGCCAATACTGAGTATTTGAGCGGGTACTCATACTCGCCCAAATGCTCCTATACCTTCCCCGATCCCTGAACTTCCGGTGAGAGGAAGATTTCCTCTGACCGGCAGTACCGTTGGGGAACATGGACCCGGCTTCCCAGGCAATCAGGAAGCTGGGCGGCAAGTAATGACCCAATTCCTGATTGGCCAGGAAGCCGGTTCCATGCTGATTGGCAGCGGA